CTGTGGATTATTTCAGATGAGTTCTCGCCGCCGGCCGGGGCCAGGTGGCTGAGCGCTGAGGAGCTGGCAGTCACCGCCGATTCACACGTGCCCACAGCTCTGGGCCAGGGTGACGGTGACATCCAGGTCCACAGACTCGGTGGCCAGCCCTCTTCCTTGTCTTCTGCCATCCGTGAGCCTCCTGAGAATCTGCCCGCTGGACACCCCCAGCCTGGGCTCCCCGTTCCCAGCCTTCCTTGGAGTCCTTCGAGTCTCCCAGCTCCAGACGTGGCTGCCTGGGGTTCGTTCCGAGACATTCCGTCCTCGGCTTCAGTCCTCTCAGCAGCTTCCACTGCACTGTGACTCCAGTGCCACTCAGCTACTGCGTTAAAATGTGTCAACACGGAGCCCCGGGGGCAGTCTGGTGGCAGAGCGCACACTCCCTGTGTGCCAGGCCTGAGGGAGACGCCAGCACCCAACACGTGCCAACCACACCCACTTTCCTCACCCGACCTGCGCCCGCACAGTCCTGCCCCCGACTCGGATGGCGCTCTGCCCACTCCCCCCCTCCGTGCCAGCTTCACGTCCAGGCCCTGTGCTCCTACCATGTTGCTTTCCGCAGCGTCTCTAGTTGCTCTCTGTGGAGAGCCTTGCAGTTCACGGGGTTGCCTTCCTTTCCCTCCCCACCACGCCTCCTCCAGCAGCAGAACCCACGGCTGTGTTTCTCAGGTTTTCTGGACTCTGCCCACGGCTCCCCACCTCCACCAGACCTCTGCCTGGGGATGCAGGCCAGTGTGAAGCCATCAGCGTGGTCTCCCTGCCCTCATCCCTCCCATCTTCAGGGCAGCCCCTGCTCCGGGAGGGCCTACCCCAGCCTTTTACACCTAGCGCCTCCTTCCCCACCTGCCCCAGTGTGGAAGCGCTGGACACGCCGCTCCTCAGATGTGCTGTACTCTGCACCCACCTTCCCCAGGGCCCAGAGGCCTCCCTCTCCATCCCCGCAGTCCCCTTAGGAGCGGGGCTCCTCTGCCTGCGGGCTGCTCCGTGGAGCCTCTCCCACCTGCTGAGTTCCCCTGGGCAGTGGCCAGGCACAGCGTGTGTCTGTGTCCCTCAGAGCACGTGTAAAGGCAGCGCTTCAGGTGCCTGCCTCCTTCAGTGGGAAAGAGGCTCAGCTCCACTCCAGCCCTGTCCCCAGGTGTGTCTTCCTGCCGGACCAGGGCGCCTTCTTCGTGAACTATGTGATCGCCTCAGCCTTCATCGGCAGTGGCATGGAGCTGCTGCGGCTGCCGGGCCTCATCCTCTACACCTGCCGCATGGTCATGGCCAGGACAGCGGCTGAGCGCAGGAATGTCGAGCAGGTGGCGCCTCCGACTCCCTCCAGCCTCCTAGTTCTCTCACCTCCACCTGGCTCGGCTTTTCCCACCCTTGGTTCTCACACCTGGACCAGGGCCACCTCTGCTAGCAGCTTCTCCACAACCCAGGTTCTTAGTGCAGGGCTGGAGGAGAGAGCTTGAGACTTTCCCTGTGACCAGTTTGGCTGCATCCACCCATCCACACACCCCAGTCTCCAGGCTCCTGAGCTCCAGCTGGCACGAACTGGGAGAGCTCTGCTTAGGAAGCTCCAGGCCTTGGGTTCCATCCCCAGCACGAACAAAGGGCAGGGTGGGGTCGAGGGCACAGCCCACGGCTGCCTTTTCCCTGGGCGTCCATTTGCATGTGTTCTTAGCAGAGGCCAGGTACCGAAAGCATTTCGAGTTTGCAGCACTTGTTCCAGCACTCCCTACATTAGGTGGCCCAGGGCCTGTGACTCCCTCAGCCTTGGTGGGTGCTGTGAGGGAGGCAAATACGTTTTGCTCAATTCCCAGGGCCCCAGCGGCACCGGTGTCCCTGGTTACAGAGGCACATCCTCTGGTGCCAAGTCCAGGAATCACTCCATGGCTGTCCTTAGGCCGCCGGCTCCAACCGTGTCTAGGAGACCTGGGTGTGCACAGTGCCCCTTCTGGTGGCCTCGCCATGCACTGTCTCCTTCACTAGAGGCTTGAGCATGTGCTGCCTCCTTGTGCCCTGAAGGCACAGTCTGAGAAGCTGCCACAGGCTGGATAGGGACCCCTTCTGCAGTGGGTCGCCGAGGGTCTCCTGCCTCCTGAGCGCCTCCCAACCTCTTGCTCCCAGAACCAGGCCTACGAGTTCGAGTTTGGAGCCATGTACGCCTGGATGCTCTGCGTCTTCACCGTCATCATGGCCTACAGCATCACCTGCCCCATTATCGTGCCATTCGGTGAGTGGCCCCCGTGCCCGCGCACACGGGCAGCTGCTTCCTCCAGCCCTTCGGGGACAGCCTTCACGGCCGCTTGCATTCCCAGCTCCATGGTCCTCTTGTGGCCACTGGAGCCACTGCTGCCGGGGAAGCACATGGCACCAAGCGCACTCACGTCTGAACGAATTCCCCCACCTGGGCTCCCAGGGCGACCTCCCTTGGTGCTTCCGTGTGGCCTTCTCTTCATCCTGACCCTGTCACCGTGCCCCTGGGCTTGGTGTGTGTGCTGGGGATCAACCTGAGCGCTTCACACGTGCTCCGCATGCCCTGTTCCGCTGCGCTCCAGCAGCCCCAGCCCGGGAGCTTGGACCCCACGCCAGCACTGTCTTGCCGCTGCTCAGGCCTCACCCGGCATCCCAGGGGCTCCCATTCCCTCAGGGGCAGAGAGAAGGGAGGAAGCAGGTGAGGAGGGCGCGGGAACAAGCCTGCAGCTAGGACGTGCCTTGGCCCGTTGCAGCCTCAGACTTTGCTCAGCCCTGCACCTTGGCTCCACACAGCCGAGCCACACCCTCCCAGGGAAGGCGCCCTGGTGCCTCAGCCGGCAGCCACCCACTCGGGCCCCACCTTCGCAGGCCTCATCTACATCCTGCTCAAGCACATGGTGGACCGGCACAACCTCTGCTTCGTCTATCTCCCGGCCAAGCTGGAGAAGAGGCTGCACTTCTCTGCCGTGAGCCAGGCCCTGGCTGCACCCATCCTCTGCCTCTTCTGGCTCTTCTTCTTCTCCTTCCTTCGCCTGGGTGAGCGAGCTTCCTGACCTGGGCCAGGGCTTGGCCTCCTGGTCCCGCGTCCACCATTCCAGCCAGCCATCAGGTACCAACCTGGTGGTGTCTGATCCGAGCCTGGCACCCAGTGAAGGCTGGCTGTGTGGTGCCTTGGCCCAGTGCCCCAGCTCGTCCTCCACAGACGTGCCAGGCTGAAGCCAGCTCCAAGGGGGTGAGCCAGAGCAGAGGGGAAGCTGTTCCGGACTGCTGTTCGGTGCTGCCCGGTCCTAGACGTCACGGTCCACAGTGTGGAGGGGATGGGGGAGCCGGAGGGACAAAGACACCTTGGGAAAAAGCAAAAGGCAGGCGACTTGTGGGTCACTCTGCTCCTGGCCGTAGGGTCTCTGTCCTGGCTGCTAGATGAGGCTGGGCTGCAGGGCCAGCGGGGAGGGCTCACCCCTCCAGCAAGCAGCCCCCCAACCTGGGCCAGCATCTCCCTCCCCAGGTCTGCAGGCCCCTGCCACCCTGTTCACCCTCCTGGCCGTGCTGCTTACCATCCTGGTCTGCCTGGCCCATGCCTGCTTTGGCTGCTTCCGGCACCTCAGCCCTCTCCACTACCAGGTACAGGACCCAGGGAGACCACGGTGTCCCCACCCATTCCCACCCCTTCCTGTGTCGAAGCAGCAGCAGCCTTCTCCAATCCCACCCCTCCCTGGGAAAGGCAAGGGTAGTAGGCTGTGCCGTGGCCCTTCCCTCCCCACCTCTGCCTCTCGGGCCACACACACCCTTACTGCTGGGGGCTCAGAGGCAGCTGGTGCTGTTGTTCTGGTGTCAAGTTGTCTCTCTGCTCAGAGGGGGTGAGTTCAGGGAGATCACTTGTGTCCATCGTGCACCCCTTCGCTGTTGCCTGCAGACAGAAGAATCTGCAAGCCAGGAAGGGAGTGAGGCAGAAGCCCAGGAGCCTCCACCACTCACAGTAAGCCGTCTGCTGCTTGCCCCCTGCTTGCTGCCCTTGCTGCTCTGGTGGTAAAAGTCTCATGTGCCTTGCCCGCCCCTTGCTAAGATAGAAGCCCCTTGATCACGGGGCAGCCTCATTCTGCGTCAGTGGCAATGGAGAAGGAATCCCCAGTCCCTCTGGATTCTTCTTTCTTCGTGGTGCTGTGCATCCAACCCAGGGGCTTGAACACACTAGGGCAGTGCTGTGGCCCTGAGCCCGCACCTGCTACCTGATCCTTGTCACTCACTCATCGAGGAGGTGACTGGTCTCTCCCCTGTGTGCCCACTCTGAGTCCAGCCCGTGCTGCCTTCTTTTTCTGCAGTCCTGGTGCTTGTGAGTCTGGCTCCAGAATGTTCCAGACAAAACCTCCTGCTTCTCCGTGCCTCTGGCTCCTGGGGTCCTGCTCCTGGGAGCTGCCTCCCAGAGCCCCGGGGTGCAAGAGCATGGCAGAGCCGGTCTCCTCCACAGCGCTCTTTGCAGATGTTGGGCATTTTCATCAGTGCCTGTCCCTGGGCAAGCCCCAGAGCACAAGGTCCTGGATACCTGGTCCAGGGAGAGGCAGGGCAGATGGAGGATGGAAACCCCTTCTAGGGGGAATGGGGTGGGGCGCAGTGCCCAGCCAGGTAGCTAGAGCCTGGAACTAGGAGGAAACATCATTTACAGGCCCAGTGTAGACAGACTTGTTTCCCCGTAAGTGAGGGGTTCTAGAATCCTGTGCTGGCCACTGGAGGAAACTCCTCTGTTGTGCTACCTTCTGTAGGATCATAAGAACTAGGACCAGGTTGTGGTGTGTTTCATTTTGCTCTGGCTTTGGGAATGCCCGCAGGTGGCACATTTTGGGTAGCACTAACTCCATCTTTACTGGCAGCCCTATGTGCCCCGGATCCTGAGTGGTCTGGCCTCGGAGAGAACAGCCCTGTCCCTGCAGCACCAGCAGAACTATGGCACCATCCACCACGTCAGCGGGACCCTCCTAGAGCAGGACACGGCCCATATCCCAGAGGACAGTGCCGTTCCCGCCTCCTCCACTCCAGGCTTCCTGTGAAGGCACTGTGTGCAGAGCAGGGGGCCCTCAGCCCTGTTGAGGGCTGGCCTGGCAGTAGGGCCACAGTGGAAGTGGACCCGCCTCATTCCCCCAGAGTTCTGCCCCTGTGCTTCCAGCATTGCGCTGGGATGGTCCCCCAGTTCTGAAGCCAAGATCTTGTGTTGGAAGTCTGTTTCCCAAATTGATCCCGAAGATGATGTTTGCCGTGGGGAGCAATGAGACAAGGGGAAGATTGGATGTCCTGTCACAGCTAGGGATCAGTGCCTGGCCAGTCCTCCCACGGCCTGTGTCCTATCCCCGGAGGCTCTGTGGTGGGACTTGCGTCACCCTGCTGCAGGTAGAGATGATGAAGTCCGTTAATAAAGTGCCTTTGGGTGAGGCCGGTGGGCAGGTGTGTGGGTTCCGCCCAGACAGTGTTGGGGTAGGGTCAGGGAGGTGTGGGCCTGACTGGAAGCTGGTGGCCTCTTTCCTCCTTAGGCTCAAGTCCCCATGTCACTGTGCAGTTTGTCCAGAAGTCTCTTCTCTGGGGCCTGCAGAGGGCACCTTGGGGATGGGGAAGGGACAGGGTCAGGGTCTAGCTGTGGGGCAGTCTGGCCTGGGGCTGGTGCAAGGGCATAGCGCCTTCGTGTGGCCCCACAATCCACCTGACTCCATGCCCCTGCCCAGGCGTGTGCCACACTCCACAGACCTGGCCTCTGGTCCCTCTAGCCTTCCCGCTGCCACTGCTCCAAGCCGGGCAGGGGAGAAGAAAGTGGCACCACCTTCTTGGAGTCGCCAGACTGGGTGGGACCGCAGAACAGGCATCTGTCCCCTGGAAGCCATTTGGCTTCTGAGGCTGAGAAGTGGCATCGTTTTTTCATCCGAACATGTGGCTTGACAGGCGGTGGGGTGAGCCTGGGCCCCCAAGGCTTAGAGTTCCAATTTAAGGGTAGCAGCCCTGAGAACAGGAGGGGCCTACAGCTGGGGAGGCCACACTCCAACCCCTGGTCACTCCACTAGTGTTACGGACTCGCGGAAGTCCTGGGCCCGCAGCTCAGGCTCCTGTAGGGTAGGGAAGTGCTTCCCACTGTCCATGTAGGAGGAAGAGAAGAGCTTAGGCACTTGGCTCTCACTCGCATCTCAGAGGTGGGCAGTAATTCGCAGGGGGAGGTGACAAAGCCAGCGGGCACAGAGATCTCCATCCTGGAGGGACATGGGACCCACGGAGGGGCTCAAGGGTTACATCCAGCCATACAGAAAGAAAGGGGCAGACCAGTGCTCCCACAGCCTCCCTCCTGTGCCTTGATTCCAACTCACCAAGGAGCTCCTTTTCCTGCCAGAGGCCTGGAACAACCTGTGGTGCCCACCTTTGCTGCCTACCCCAGGCTCTCTGGGACCTGGGAAGTCTTGGATTCCTTCCTTGCCTGCGTTACAAGCCCAACCCACACACTCATACACCCCGCTGGCCAGGCATACCACTGGTGCTTCCGGGTCATTAGACCCTGGCCCGGTTCTTGTGGTGCTGGTGGGAGGAGATGATGGTCTCTGTTGTCCAGTAGAGCACGATGGTCAGCAGGTTGTCCAGGGAGAGTTCCTGGGAAGCAGAACAGGAAGCCAAGGCTGAGGCAGGAGCAGGGCACCGCAGGCAGAGCGCTGCAGAGCCCAGCCCGGCAATGGTTGCTAAGGCAGACTGTGGTCCCAGTCCAGTGCTCTCCAGAAAACAAACCTGAAGTGGTCCACTTTTCAAGATAAAATAGCTAAACTCTGAGTAAAAAAGCAATGCTAGTTTTTCACTGCTTCACAGTGTCCACACATTTGGAGAGTCTCTGGGCAAGCAAGACCATACCAGAAGATAAAAACAATAGTAATAATGAAGCCTTGGTACAAGGTAGGCTTGGGTGTAGTAATCACAGTGTGGTCCAAGGTCGCCTGAGACAACTGCTTCTCAGAAAGTCCCCAAATCAAAAGTAGACATTATCATTTTTAAAATCCAAATTCAAATTGGGAGGGGTCCTGGGAACCCATAGGTGTCCTTTGGAAAGGCTGCACCCCCCGTAGTGCTTGGCCAATAAAAAAAATGTCGAAGGGGTGTGGGTGTTAGGGCTATAAATTGTTTGCTGTGACCACTCTGTGCCTGTCCATCAGATGCCCAGGGTTACAAGGCTGATGTAAAGCCTTACGCTCAAATCCTTCCTGCCTCCGGAACAGGACGGGCTCTGGACAAGTGAACCCATGTCTCACGCTCTCGTGCATTTTAACTCACGGAGTCCCCTCGGTGACCTAGGGGATGCACCACTGTCTTCTCCACGTTGCTCCACCCAAGCACTGTGGCCAGGACACCACTCCGCAGCCCCACCTCTCCTTCCCCCGTGAGCTCCCATCAGAGGGCTCTGCCACCTCCACCCTCCGGGAAAGCCCAGTTCTGAGTTCAGGTTTCTGTGGGATCCTATGGGATCCTGGGACTTTTCCAGAGTCTCACGCAGACCCTGTGCCCAAGCCGGAGAAGGCAGTGAACCAGCAGGGACCCGGGTTCCGGTCTCGCCCATGGTCTTGCAGAGCCCTGGGACTCTCAACTTTTCACACTGTGCCTGCCTCGGTTTCTCCTCTGATAATGAACAGGGAATGATACTGGCAGAACAGGTGAAGTATGGAAGGAGGCCCTGATAACAGAATCCAGGCCCATTGATGTGAGCCAGGAGGTTGGAACCCCAGGTTTGCCCCGGTTGCTCAGTTACTGAGTGTAACTGTGCTCTGGAGCTGAGGCTCTGAAGAAGCATCAGGCTGGGAGCCTGCCTGGAAGAAGAAGCCTGGGGCCTGGCAGGGAGACTGAGCTGTGAGACCCAGCGGGCGGGGGTGGACATGTCCCGGGGATGTTTTGCCCAGATAGAGGGAGAAGTTGAGGAAGGCTTCTTAGAGGAGGTGACCTCTGCAGAGTCTTGAAAGGACAGAAAGATGTGGGGGAATAAATTGGCTTGGCAAAGGCAGCAGGCCTGAAGCCGGAGGACGCCTGAGGGACCAGACCTAACTTCCTTTGGGGGCCAGGCCGGTGCTGCGTCCTGAGGATGGAGGACAACAAGGCCAACCTCTGCCCTCAAGGAGCCAGGAGTCCAGAGTGGGGCTGATGAGCCACAGCTGCAACCCCGTCAGGCGGCATTCAGCAGCAGTTGCAGCCCCAGAGCTCAGGACTCAGCCAGCAGCATGCTCACCTTGGCTTCCTGCCACCCAGGCCCTGAGGACGCAGCCTGGTGGCTGCCACACCGTGAGCCCGTGGTCTCTCTTCAAGCAGCAGTGTCTTGGGGAGCCCTTCCTGGGTGCGTCCAGGTGGCCAAGGGGCCAGTCATTGTCTGATGCTTTCCCTGCTCCCCTCTTGGAGGACATCCAAGTCCCCACGACTGTCCTGGCTGCAGCCCATCTTTGGCTCAGAGGCCGTGCTGACTCCGTGCCTGGGGCCCTGAGCCCCCACCTGCTCCCGCCCTTGCCCGAGCTCTGCCGGCCACCTCCTGCCTTCCACAGTCTAGGCAGTGTCTCACGCTCTGACCGAGAGGTCCAAGTGGACCTTTCAAAATTAGGAACTTTTTCCAGCTTCATCAGACTGAGTACTGGAACTTGCATCTGAGCCCTGGTGCCAAGCAGGTTCTAAGTAACCAGGTTTCCATCTTTTTCTGGGCCCTCCAGGGGGCTGTATAAGCCTGGCTGAGTCTGCACTTGTACCCAGAGTTCCTGGCTTCTGTCTCACCCAGCTATACACGGACCTTTGTTGTGTAGAGGGATGACTAGCTGTCCTCTCAATTTGGTCAAATTGTGAGTAAACTTATTTTTCCATTTTTATGAGCATTACTCTTGATGGGCAGGATAACAAATCCAAATAGTTGAGGTCCACATTCAGCCCTCTGGCGCCAACCCCCATACCAGTGTTGCCCAAGGGCCTCCTTCTGCCTGCCTTCCTTGCATGCCCTGTCCTGTTCCCTTGTCAGTCCTGCACATGGAAGTTGCCTGCTGCTCAGGCCTGTCAGGGGGCCTTCATGGCTGTCCTTTCAATCGTATCGATCTGTCTCCCCACCACCACATCATCACTTAGCCAATAAAATCCTGGGTGGGTTCTGTTGTCTCCCTCTCCCTCTTCCTCTGCCTTTCTATGTGCAGTTAAGGCTGGCCTTGAATTTACTATGTAGCCCAGGGTGGCCTCGAACTTGTAACATTTCTCCTGCCTCAGTCTCCCAATTGCTGGGATTACAAGTGTGCACCACCATGCCCAGCTACGTCTTCTCTTTAGACTACCTCACAGCTCTAGCCACGAAACCCTGAGACACAGTGGGCATCAGTTCTACCTGAGTTCCACAGACACCTCCCTCTGGACATCTGGCCAGCGCTCAGCTCACCGTGACACGAATGAGGACATGAATGAGCTCGTGTGTGTGCCCAGACCTGGACACCACTCTACAAACTCAGGCTCCTGCACACACACTCCTACAGGCTCATGTTCTTGCATGCTCACACTGTGCATTCACACTTGTGCTCTGCATTCACACTGGTGCGCACTTACACCCATGCCCTTTCATGCACACACATGAGGCTCCCATCCTTCATTCCCTGGTTTGACAAGTGCCATCCCTGTACCCTGCAGCCATTCTCGGCATACAAGTCCTTCTGGCATTGTCTCTCCCCAGTGCCCTCCAGTCCCACTCCCCTGGTCCTCCTGCTGCTGGGAAAGCTACTCCAGTACAGTTAGTTAGCTAGTGCATCTGAAGCCAGTTCACCGGAAACAACCACCATACTGAATTTGCTTCATCATTTCAGGTATTTTGATGTCATTGCTCAATTACCTTTGAATCCTCTGAGCCCCATTTAAGGAGTGTTCACTTCACTTATGGCTGCATCCCAACTAAGAATGGGGTGAGGGGAATACTGTGGAAAGTATTTGTACTAATCAGAAAATCTAAAGAATTCGAGTCATAAGAGGCTTCCCAGGAAGGAAGATGTCCTAAGACATCTTCATGTTTGGGAGTGTGTTGTTAGTCCTCCAGCCCACCTAAAACCCCATCTCTAGCAACAGCCACATGCAGCAGGGACAGAGGTAAAGTGAATGTCCTTAAATGCAAGGAAGAAAGCTCATGCTGCAAACATAGCAACAGTACCAGATTGGTAGGTTCTTATGACAGAAATGTTTATCTCAAGGTGGGAAATTTCCTTGAAAGCTGCCCAGGGAATCACTCTGTAAGTGGCATCAGAGAAAACAGTGGTGTATTTCAATATTCAGCCTGTTCTCATGGTGGGACAAATAGAATGTGTTGTGATGACATGGAATATTAGAAATAAACTCTTGGAGGCCAGGGTCCCAGCCCAGTGACAGAGTTCTTGCCTAGCACACAAGGCCCTAGGTTCCATACCCAGCACCACAGAAAGAA